ACCCAGCCCGTGGGCTTCTAATTTACTGCTTTTCTTTTACAGTAAAACTGAAAGGGGAAGGTGCACCCTGTAATCACTGCCTCCGGGTCCCTGCCTGCAACAGCACAGAGCCCGCGCGAAGGCTAGGAGTTAATGCTCCTTCCGACACCTTTTTATGATTCATGGGCCTGACCTTGAGCCATAAACCGCTCAACCTCCCCGACACACTGGCAGTATTTACAGCCTGCGGGGGCCAGGACGCAGGCACAGATGCTCGGCGGGCCGCGCGCCAGGCACAGGTACCCGGGCGGGGAGGCAACAGGTACCCAGGCAGAGCGGCGCACGCGGGGCCTGCGACGCCGACGCAGGGGTGCACGCAGGCCTGTATGGCAGCTATATACAGACAAAAGCATGTTTACGCACACACGTATGTGCAGACATTCCCACGCTCGGATGCCTTCACCGGGGATGTCTTCATCCTCCTCAGGAGGGTGCCCTTGGGTGCAGAGGGACGTTGCCCATGTGTCTCGACCCGCCAAGCACCCCAAGCAGAGCGGAGCGAGGGCTGCTGGCTAAAGCGAGGGGCGCGGAGGCGAGAGGCTCCGGTCCCGCCAGCTGGGTAGGCTCAGACACGCAGCACCCCCCTCCATGCCTCAGTTTCCCCCTTGCTGCAGCAGGAAAAATAATCCTGACTCATCCTGTTTGCACGAAGTCGGGAGGCCGAGCTTGGGACTGTTTGCGAAGTGGGCTTGGCTCCTCTGATAGAGCAAGCCAGAAATGTGAAGGTCATTATTATTATTATTAGGATTAAAGCAATTTAACCTGGCAGTTGGGGGGTACAGGTGAGCACAGCAGCTGTACTGCGCTCAGCAACAAATCGCATAGAGGTGCAACCAGAAAATACCCACCACTGCCATGATTACGCCTTATTTTAGTGAATTTAGAAGCACTAGGCAGAGTAAGAGCGTTCCCAAAGTGCCCTCCAATACTTCTAACACCCAGAAAATATCCTTCCTAAAGGAAGGAGGGACTGAAGTTCGCTGTTCCTGGAGACGTCTGGACCCTGCATGAGGCCGTGAGCCGTCAGCACCCACTCCGTGCGTGCAGCCCCTCCTGGTACGGGCTCACGTGCATCGCCCTGCCTGTAGAGAGGTCCTTGCTCCCAGCTCTCCCAGTCCTCACCAGACAACCGCCCTTCTCCTCTGTCCCAGGACTGGAGACCACAGAATTGGGCAATTTATCTTGAACAAAAATCTCCCTCTTCATTTTTTTTTTTTTTGGAGTTTACAGGTTGTTGAATCTATTTTCTTTCTCTCTTATGAAACAAAAGAGGGAAAAAACATCCTTATCTCAGAAAGCAGAGTTCAGGAAAAAGCTACTGGTCTTTTGGACTCGGTAGGTCCCTATTGGTAGCCTCACTTGTCACTGAGAATTTATCAGCCAAACACAGATCGGGTATAATGCGCCATATAACTAGTGCATAAACAAACTTCAGCATGATAAATGCTCTGCTTTGAAGCCATAAAGTTATTAGCTGGTGGCTGTTAGCTACTGCTTAGCATGGGACACGGTCCTTCCGTTAACCCCTCGCGGCCGCCTCCGTGCTCATAAATCCGCTGGCCCCGGGGCGCTGTCGGGAGCGAAGGGGAGGGCGCTGGGACCCTGTGGAGGAGCAGCTCGGGGGGTCGGGTGCGCGCGGGCAGCTGGCTGGCACAGATGCCTCCGCCGGGACTTATCAGCGCACTTTGCACTTGCCGAGCGGAAAGGGCTCCCACCAGCACGAGGGAACTGCTGCCCGGGAAGGGAGCGCTGGGAGGGCCGACACGTCCCTGCGCCCCGGGTGCTCCCAGCGCGCGCGGGGCTGGCGCTGCAGCGCGGCCACCTCGGCCCCGCGCTGGGGCACAGCAGGCGCAGGGGAGATGCCGGAGGCCGGCGCTGCCTCCTGTCCCTCTCCCTGTAAAACTGCCCCGCGAGGCGTCAGGAGACGTCTCAGCAGGGCCAGCTGGGGGGCGGCAGGACTCGGAGCTGTCTGAGTGCCTGTTCCTCATTAGAAGCCCGGTGTTGAAGAAACTCATAATTAGAGCCCTGAGTGTTAATTAATCTCCATGACCCTCCTCTCATTCTCCTTCCCCTTTCCCCACGGCTCAGCAGGTCAGCCTGCATTATTAACACGTGCAAGTACAGGATGGCAAGCTCGCCGAGTGGGTCGGCAGCCGCGACCAGACCCGGCTCGTGTCCCCGTGTCCCAGGCATCCCGAGGCACCTTGTCCCTCCCTGCAGCGGCTGGTGGCCAACACGGCTTCCCGGCCCTCGCTCCTCGGCCCTGAGCCTGGCCTTGGCCTGGGACGTGTCCCACTTGCTTGGGCAGAACCAGCACCTTGGGGACTGCACTTAAGTGAGTGTCCTTAAGTGAGCAGAGGCGCTTTTGTGGGTGCCCTAACTCTGCCTTGCAACCCGTGCATCCTGGGGACAGGATCAACGCTAGCTGGATATAACATGTTTCAAGATGCTTCATGGCACAAGAGAAGCCAACCCAGCCCCATAACACCCTGGCCAGACCCGCAGGATTGGCATCTCCATCTGGCCAGACCTTGCTTTGGCCTTGCGGAGTCCCGCGCTTGCGAGGCAGACGCTGGAGGCAGCCAGGGCACGAAGGCCCCCATGCAGCACGGCCACCTCGCCTGGCGCAGGACCGGCTCCTGGGAACGCGACGCTACCCAGGCTACTGCCAGGGCAAACAGGCCACAAAGGCAACATGGAGCAACAAAGCAAGATATGAAATAAATCCCAAACTTTTCTGACTCCCTAGTAACTGCTTCCCTGATCCTATTTTTCCTCTTTTCTGCTGGAGCAATAAAAAAGGGAAAATCAACATCCAAATGATCTTGTTTATGGCGACTAAATAAGCTGCATGTGCTTAATCCGTTAGAGTTTAATGAATTTACGACTTGCTTTGGAATTTGACAAGGGCTGTAAAAGAGTAATTAACATTTATCAGTGTGTTTTTTGCACACACCCCACCCTCCTCCCGGCTCCCTCCCCTCCTCCTGCTGCCTGTCTCAAGGCAGCACTGGGTATCGGGGGGAATATAAAAGTGATCAATTAATTCTTAATAATCTCGGGGAAAGATTGTAGAGCTGCAGTATGAACTCAGGGAGTGTCAATAAAGGTGCCAAAGGTTGGCCCCCCTTCCGGGCGCTGCGGAGGAATGTGCACGGCCAGGGAGGGCTGGGTCCGTCCATGGCCCTTTCCTGCTGCTCCGACCCGCACTTCCCGAGCCCCCAAAGCACCCACCCTGCAAAGCACCCTGCTCTGCCCGCAGCCCCGACGGTCGCAGTGCTGCAGTTTGGGGGCACTCGTGTTGTGGAGAGGGGTCAGTGCTCCGGGTGGGCAGGAGGCTCCCCGAGGGAGACAGGGAAGCATTTGGGCTTGGCTGTGGGGCAGAGGGTCCTGGAGACCCACAAACAAAAGCTCAGGATGATGAATCCGCTGAGGCTTGAGACTGTCCGGGCATCTGCTCTGGACAGAAACAAATTCTCCCTGTCGAACATAATGGGCCAGAAATAAGCAATGAGGCAGTGAAAGACAGGGCTGGGCCCTGGGGATCTGGAAAATCTCCACGCAGCCCCAAGGCGAGCACCCGTGGGGCTGGGACGGGGGGTGGGAGCGATACCCCCACCCCGGGCGAGCTGGCAGCGCCCGGGATCTCCTGCCGGGCAGGGCTGCTCCGGGCCGTCCGGCTGCCTGAGCACGGACAGGCAGGAACAGGAGGTGGGAAACAGCAGGATGAACCATCAGCGAGGGGGAAGCCCAGACCCAGGGGAGGGGGCCCGTGTGAGGACCCCAGGGCGGCTCATCCTCCTCGGGCCTTGCGGCGAGAGCGCGGCGCTGGCTCCGCTGCCCTGTCCTGGCTCCGCGGCCCCCCGCTCCGCAGGGAAGGGGGCTCCCCTCGCCTGCGCTGCCTCAGCTCCGTGTCACTCTGTTTAAATAGCACCCCCTCCCGCAGAGACCCGACGCTGGGGGTCGGGGTCTGAGCGTCTCTGGGATCTGTCACGGTCTCCAGAGGTATCAAAAAGCAACTTGGAGCGGGAATCCCAAGCAGGAGAAGGAGCAGGCGGAAGGGGAGAGCCTGGGAAAGCACTGTGGCAAGGGAGGGCCGGGGTTCAGCGACGCTCCCGCTCCTCCCAGGCCCTCTCCAAGGCTTGGTGGCACCCGGTGACATCCTGCAGGCCGCGTAACCCTTGAGCATCTGCCCACTGTGCCAGGGCCAGGGAGTCGGAGGGGCCAGGCAGCCGTGCTGTCCTGCAGCAGCCCCAAAATCAGGGAGTTCTCGCTTTTCCCAGGCATCAAACTCCAGCCAGCTCAGCCAGATCCACCTGTACCAGCACTAAGGGCGCTGAGTCGTGCCACCCAAACCCCCATCTCGCACCGCGCCGCCGTTGGGAACACTCCTAAGCAATAGCAGCTGTCCGGGTGCATTTACAGGTTCTGTCTCTTCCCATTCTCCTCTGCTCTCACCCAGCCACGACAATTTTAAATCCATAAATAATAATTCTAGGGGTAACCAGAGCAGGACACGCAGCCCTTTGTGAGCCTTTCTCCTGCTGTGGGAGAACGTGGGTCCTGCTTGGGACGGCGACAGGGCTACAAAGGGTTAACAGGAGACTCCCACATCCACTCAGCACGTCGCCCAGGGTCTTAAGCCCATGAGCAGTGGTGCTAAAGATGATTTTAAGCCATGATTATAAGAAATCTATTGATCTCTTGGACTGCATAATGACAGATTAACCATTTTAATAAAACACCTATTAATCATGCATTAACCCTTCTCAGCTCTAAGTACATTGAACTGTAACACCAAATTGACAAGGGCATTGGGATTTTGAGGAGTCTTTCTAAGGGGAAGGGAGCAAAAGGTTTCCTTAGATAACAACAACAAGAAGAAAATAATGCAAACTTACAGAGGGGGAGAGTTAAAATCATACGATGAGTGGCAGTTGCAGACGCCTGGGGCCCTCTTTGGTTGTCGCTTCTATCTGGCAATCAATTGACAAGAAATTGAGATTATGAAATAGTGCGTCTGTGATCAAAGGAGGGGGATTTCTTCCCCAATCCGAGGACAAATCTCAACTCCCCCACAGGAACAACCAACCGACAGCAGTGATTTGGCCTTCAGGGGCTTCTAGGCCAATATATCACCAGCAGGACTTTTAGTGTCAACGTGCCCATCATCCCCCAGATCTTTTTTGACACACTCAATGCGAGGGTGCAACATCCTAAAGATGCAGCCTACGGGGGCAGAATTTTTGAATTTTTTTGGAGAGGGAGACATTGTATCCAGCGATGCCTTCGGAGAGGGCAAGGAAAGGGAGACGGGTGGGAGAGGGGCAGCACACCCAGGTGCAGCTCCGCCAGGCGCGGGCACGGGCTGCTCTGCCTCTCCAGCCGCCCGCACGCAGGGTCTGCGCGGCCCCGTGTGCGGGAGCAGGAGGTGCCCCAAGCGCGTGTCCCTGCACAAGCCCAGGGGCCTGTTGCATAAGGGCAGGGGCGGGCGCCGTTTCCTGCCTCCTCGAGCCGTTGAAGCCTCGGAAACCGCCGAGCCCCCGTTGTGCGAGGAACTGCCGGGAGGCCAGAGCTTCCTGCAGGTGCCCACGCTCATGAATCACACCTTGTCAGGGCGCAACGAGCTCGTTGGGCAAGCGGAGCTGGCCACCAACCACCGCCCCACGCCGAGCCGCATTCCCACCGCCCCCGGCGCCGCCCCGGCCAAGCAAGGGTTAGCAGGCATTCATCACCCTGTTTGAGAGACATCTCAAAGCCTCTTCCAAATATTATAAAAAATGTCTTTAATCATCTAATAGCGCGAACTCCGCTCGTGATGGATGGAGAGAAATCGCTTCTCTCCTCCTGATCCTAACAGATGAGGCTGAAGAGCTGTGGCTCCAGAGGAGGGGGGGAAAGTTGGGGAGGGGGTTGGGGGAAGAGAAGGACATTTCTCAACCTCCCACCAGAGCAGTTATAAATATGAGGTCATACAGCAAGAGATGATAACGCATTAAGGGCTCTTGAGATATTAGTCTGTCAGCCTCGTTAGACACAGCCTATTTGGGGCTGACTGCATAATTAGAGGCTGGGGTACCCATAACTCATTGGTGTTTATATGGTAGGAAGGGGCTACACTTACCATCACCCTCAGCACACTGAAAAGTCATCTTCAGCAAGCATCAAATTCCACTCCCAGTTGCAAAAATAATGCAAATTCTTCTCTCCCCAGGAACCACTGCTCCCGTTCCCACCTCCTGCCCTGGGAAAGAGCCTTCTCTTGTGCTGGCTCAACCGGTGCCCTTCCTGTAGTGCCAGGACTGCTGCCTGTTCAATGCCCCTACTGTAACCCACCCTCACAGTTCCCCTCTCCCATGGGTGGCAAACGGGGTTACAAAGGTGAAAGACTTGCCCAAGGTGCCTCAAGTCAGGGTGTGACCAAACTGAGAGGGGAACCCCTGAGTTCCGGCCTGCAGTTCCCCCTGTCCTGTTATAAGATGACTGGCTGGGGACCAGTGGACCTCAGTTGATACAACCCTGCAAGAGATGGCATCCCCTGAGCCCCTCAGCTGGAGAGCAGATTTGCCCTTCCTGTGCCCTTCGTCCTTGCCAGAGAATAGATCTGAGCTGGGCTGCCAACTTCTCATCTGCAGTGGGCACTGGGGACCTCCGACAGGCAGGAATCCTGTCCTGCTGCCGCACGGAGTGGCCAGATTTCTAGAGGACAGACAGAGCCCCAGCAGTGCTGCTGCAGGCCTGGCAGAAGCAGAGCTTGCAGGCAGGGGAGCAGGAGGAGCCCGCGGGAGCCGGGCTGCCCAGAGCCCCTCTGCTTTCTCTTCTCAGTTCTGGCGGCCTGGGGCCGTGAGTGCTGACACCCGCAGGCGCTTCCAAACCAACCCCGCCAGAAATTAAACAAGTGAAACAGGGAAGGGGAGGGTTTCCCTTCTGCAACCACGGGCACCGCAAGCGCTGGCTCCGGCTCTAGAGGGAACAGAGAGGGAGCAGGGGGAGGCCGACGGGAGCTGGTCCAGCACCTGGCACCCACCTGCTGTCCCCACCGCTTGCTCCTCACCCTTCTGCCCTGCGACTTGCCTTGCCTCTATGATACAGGTGGAAAGGAGAGGGCAGCCAGGGACACGAGCGGTGGCAGAGGTGCCCTCTCCCCCCAGCCGCGGTGCCCGCAGAGCCTGTCCCATCGCCTCTCGCTGCCTGCCTGGCACAGCCCGGGAGGGCGCAGGGGTCTGCGGAGGAGGGGGCAGCCCCACGGCTTCCCGGGCTGAGGCAGGATAATGAATCCTGATGGGGGAAGTGACCTTTTCCAAATGCCACATGTCATTGGATTTTATATCACACCAGGACAATGTGCCATGGGTATTAAAATCGTTTTTCCAATAGAAGTGTGTGTGTGTGTGCGTGTGTGCGTGTGTGTGTGTAAAAGGGAGATGTGAGAAAAATAAATTTAAGATGTGGAAATTGGGCTGCCCTCAAGTGTGACCTTTAGAAAAGACCAGTCCTAGCAGAGCTGGACTGACAGAGAAGATCCATACCCTTTGCTCTTGAGATCACGAATGGTTTTGTCAGGGAAATATGACTTGTCTAAAACCCATGACAGAACTAGGGAAAAAAAAATTAGGAGTCCTGATCCCTAGTTTTAAAGTCCCACACAGAGTTTCACCTTTACAATGTCCCCTCGTCAGCAAAGGGACAGCTCCAGGGCTCAGGGTCTGCCTACTGGGACACGTATCCGTCAGCACAGAGCACAGGTTACCTTGTACATGGACTCCTGCCCAAGCATGGGGGCCGATGGAGCAAAATACAACGCGACCCCAAAAGCCGAGTTGCTTGGCCTCAGCTGGGCTTCAAAGCAGACAGCACCAAGATGTGCCTGGAGAATCTGCTCGCTAAGCCCTGCATGCAGGTACGGGCATGTGCATGTGTGCATGCCAAGATACACTCCCATGGGAAAGCACAGAGTAAAAAGGGAGGCACTGGAAGCCAAATTCACTTGAACTCCAGCCTGTTCCCTCAATCTGCAGGGCAATTGTCCGGCTGAAATAACAACGCGAGGACAAAAAAAAAAAAGCGACAAGCTGCGCTTGTTTGTTCAGCTTCGCTCTCCCCGTCTCCTCTCCACAATGCCCTGACACCGCATCCCGCCGCGCCGGGGCTGCAGCCCCAGCGAGCTAAATTTATCCCAGCTGGAGCCCTGTTTACAAGCCTTGTCCTGTTTACAGCGTGGTCCATCCTGTCCCGGCCGGGCCAGCGGCCTCCCCAAGGTGGACAGGGCTCTCCTGGCCCGCACGCCTGGCTCTGCCGCCCCGGTGCCAGTGGCACCCTGTGAAGCGCCACACAGGTAGCCCGTGGCCTCCGCCAGGTCCACAAAGCAGCGGGACATCCTGCGCTGTCTCCCACACAACAATTCCTGGCCCACTCAGGGCTGTGAAGAGACAGGCCTCACCTGGGCTGCTGTGTACCCCGAGGAGCTCAGTCGTGGTCCAGATGGCCACATGCCCTGTCAGCATGGCGGCCTGCTGTCATCCAGGAAAATGTCTGCCGCAAGCAAAGCAGTGAGGGTGCAGGGACTTGTGTTCTGAGTCCCTCCTCTGGTCAGTGCCTCCGCCCTAGCCTCAGGCATGAGCATAGAATCATTATGGCTGGGAGTAAAAGAGCTCCAACCCCAGCCATAATCATGGCGGGCACAGCACACGTTGTCCCGCCTCACATGAGGGAGACTGCAGATCCGCACCTGCAGGAGGGTGTCCCACCTCACGCCTGGCCTGTGTCCCATGTGGGTGGCTGCAAAGGGAATGCCAGCTCTGAGGACGTGTGGCTTATGAGCAGGGGATGCTCCTCTCACCCTGTGACGCAGCCCTTCTCCACATGGTCCTGGCCAAGCCACGGGCTGCTGCCATCTAGGGAAGCCTTGCACTGAGAGCACAGAAAGCAGCGTCTCGTGGAGAGACCCTGACCTGGGTTCCGCTCCCAAACTCAACGCTTCTGAGAGGTGCCTTTCTCACTACAGCTTTGGATTACCTTCTCCCGACCTATTAGAATGTAATTACCAGCATTTTATGGTGCCCATGTTCCCTTTGCCTCTTCTCTGCACCTAAATAGTTTCTTCACTGTCTCACTCTCTACTCACCATGGCTTGGTTGTTGCTTGGGTTTTTTGGAGACAAGCAGGTAGGCCAGAGAGGCCCCCATGGTGCATCATGCTGAGCTTAGTTATCTTCCAAGATGCCTCCCCATTCACCCTACCCTGCTCCTTTGCTCTGGCCTGCTTTAGGCTCGTTTGTACCCGGGGCAGGGGGAAGCCTTTGAGCATTGGATACCTCACATCCCACCACCTGCAAAACCACGCTGAAATGCTGAGCAGGAGCTACTAGGGAGGGGGAAAGGCACCCCTCGCTCCACTCTCTGCTTGAATTTTGGGGAAGGTCCGTGCGTGACAATGGATGAGGTGAATTTGAGCCTCAAGACTTTCCTACACAATGTATTATTCCTGAGAAGCTCCACATGCTGGACATTCTTTTTTCTTTTACTCTCCAGAAAGAACAGTTTGTTCCTATTCCTACTCCAAAATACAAATAGGGCTTTTTGGGAATACCTCACTGGTTTGGAAATCACCAACACATTTAATTCACATCTCTTTCAAGTACAGGTAGGACATCAAGGGGAGGGCTAATGGAGAGGCCCATCTGCACACAAACATGTGCATGTAGGTGCTCCTCACATGTGTGGCTCCTCATCTCCGGAAGAAGATCTTCCAGTCAGGAAGTCACGGCCCCGATTACTTTGTCTTCCACGTTTAAGAACATCCCTAACTGCTCCTTGGATAGCTCAATTAGTAAAGTGAATATATTATATAAAGTCTAAAAGATTAAACTATCATAGGCAGCCCATAATTTCATGAAGAAGTCAGGGGAGCATATCCCTCTTATTAACTCTATAACAAATGTGATGAAAATGTTCAAATAGAATGTTAATGCAATGTT